AACTGCTACATCAATATCAACACTTAACTACTAACTGATAGCTACATCAACATGTGCACACAACTACCAACCAATAGCTACATCAACATTCACACACAACTACCAAACAGGAGCTACATTCACATCCACACACAACTACCAACCATAGCTACATCAACATCCACACACAACTACCAAACAGTAGCTACATCAACATCCACACCACAACTACCAACCATAGCTACATCAACATCCACACACAACTACCAACATATAGCTACATTCCCCTCCCCCACACAACTACCCACCAACCGACAACCTACTTGCGCTCACAGGTTCTCTCATTAAAAGAACACTCCAACAAAAACGTGTCGATCTGATGTCCCAGCAGTGTCCGTGTTGATCTGTGGTCAAGCAGGACATAAGTGGTTTAAAACGGACAATTTGATTGGTCGAATTCGACTTTAAACACATATGTTTAGATTTGCGGTTTTCTTAGGCAACTCATTAGGGTTGAGCTGTCTCAATAAGTTTGTTACTGCTTTCCCCCCTACCCTCAGAGAACATTAACACCTCCACCCCCTTACCCTCAGAGCACACTAACACCTCCACCCCCTACCCTTAGAGCACGTTAACACACCCACCGGCCTATTCTTAGAGCACACTAACACCACCATCCCCCCTACCCTTAGAGCACACTAACACAACCATCCCCCCTACCCTCAGAGCACACTAACACCATCACCCTACTCCCAGAGCACATTAACACCCAAATCCCCCCCCCCCCTCAACAGACGAAAAAGGTAAATTAGTACTAAATTGTGTACATAATTATTTAATAAGTTGTTCCTCTCCCCTAGAAGTTGTAATAATTCATAACGCCTTTCTAGAGTGAAATACCTGGATAAATACACCGGGAGTAATCTCCCCTAAACTTTCTCGAATATTCTTATATGAAACAACAAGGGATGGCAACTTGGGATATAGACATGATTTTTAATCCATTTTAAATACTTAAACTTTATAAAATAAAATAAAATAAAATATAGTAGAAAAAAATAATTGCACACCAAGTGAACGCCACATAAAATGTGCATAATAGTGCGGAATATTATTAGTACTTTCTTTATAAGTTCACAAGCGTTTTTTGAGAAATCGGAAATAGCGAAATAACAAAACATTACTACTTCCGGTCAACAGAAATTACTCAAAATTTAATAGAAGGCAGATAATTAGATATTTTACTAACATGTGAAATTTCATTTATCTATCTGAAATAGTACTTAAGTTATTGGCTTATGAAAAATTGAAACTAGAAAAAGTTCCATTTCCGGTTATCGGAAATCGCTCAAAAATTGATACGGATCTACAATTTCGATATAATACATAGATATGAAATTTCATTAACCAAGCTCTAACTGTACTCAAGTTATCGTGTTTACACACACACATCCACACACATATTCACACACATACACAGACATACTGGCAAGATTGCATAACTATGTTTTTCCGACTCATGGCTCTTTATAAAACGTCGAGATTTGTAAAAAAAAAACTCGATTTTTTTTTTGCACGATTACAATACTTTCTCTATACCTCGTATATACGAGAAAGTAAAAACATGATTTTGAATTCTTACCTGTGAACTGGCTAACTTGTTATATACTGTGAATTACCAATAGCCGACTGTAAAAACTAAGTTTAACTTATAAAACTAGCCTATTCAGGTTACTTTAAATCATTATTTGGCTGATATTTCTAACCAGTTTATTTTCTCTAAAAGATGGTTACGTTGATATCAATAAACTGTTTAGTATCTCTAATCTACGGTTTGAATGAAATCACTAACCTGTTTAGATAGCTGAGCTCGGTAATGAAACTTTCAACATTCATAGAGAGGTTGCACGTGATGTCATGGATTTGTAACCATGTAAACGTCCGCCATTTTGGGTCTACATTCAAAATGGTGGTCTGCGCTGTGAAAGGTTTTAGTTCTCGCTATGGAAATTGTAAAGGCGTTTCTTTATTTCGACTGCCCAACGTTATATTACACCAAGGTGAAACAGATCGGCAGTTAACAGAACGCAGACGTCATACATTTTTGGCCAATATTTACCGAAGCGGTGTGAGTGAAGCAGCTGCAAACAACATGCGGATCTGTTCTCGACACTTTGTTTCAGGTAAAGAGTTAAATGATTTACCTATAATAAAATGTTAGGTCATCGCAAATACAAATATATCGAAAGTTATAAAACGTAATTAGTATTAGAGTCTAGTCTCGTGAATATATATAGTCAATATATTCGATATATATATTATATATTATTTTAGTATTTTACCATACTCATATTGACGATTGAGTCTAGAAATCTAGACTGAGTCTAGACTCTAGTGTCTAGAGTAAGGCCTAGCTGGGTAGCTAGATCTAGTTAAACTCTATCTACAACTACTACTAGATCTAGTACTGAAACGTATAAACTAGGGTCTAATTATTATTTAACTAATTATAGTCTCATAAACACTAATAAAATATATTAAGCCTAATCACTTTACTATTACGGCATAAATAATTTTATTGGGTCACAGGTTACACTAGTTCTAGATCTAGGTTAGGCAGACATAGAACTCTAGGATTAACCAATTATTACTTAAATTAACTTTACAAAATTTACACTAGATTCTAAATATTTTATCAGATTAAATAAAGAATAGTTAGTAATAGATCTAGTAGACTTAAATATAACTTTATTTTTTAAACTGTATATCATATTGAGTCTAGTAATTATTAATAACATATTATATATATTATAGTTAGTCATATTTCTCATATTTGGATAAGCTTTTTAAAAGCAGGCCTTCTATTCACGTGTAGTCTTTTTAAAAAAATATTCTATTTATCCAGGTAGACCAGCAAACTTCAGAGATGAAACAAATGTTGACTGGGCTCCCACTCTGTTCCTTGGACATGATAATATTTCTATGGCAAAAGTGAAGTTATCAGTCGAAAGACACACACCTACATTAGAGAGACAAGCAAAGAAACATGCTTATGAAGCTGCAGAGGCCCTTTTGGTACTACCATTGGGCAATTCAACAAATATCCAGTGCTTCAATAATCAAACAGCCAATACTTCCCCAGTGGATATGGGTGAAGGTAATTCAACCATTACTTCCCCAGTGGATATGGGTGAAGGTAATTCAACCATTACTTCCCCAGTGGATATGGGTGAAGGTAGTTCAAATATTCAGTGCTTCAATAATCAAACAAACCACACTTCCCCAGTGGATATGGGTAAAGATATCGCAAATATTCAGACAATCAACACTTCCCAATTGGCTATTAGTCATCAATATGCAAAGGATAGCACAAAAACTATCACTAGCAGCATTGGTGTCAATATAGATTCTCTTTTTTTTGAGATGCAACAGTTAAGGTGTGAGAATTATTTGCTTCGTGAAAAAGTATTATGCTTTGAGCTTACCCCAGAGTCTTTCATTAATGACGATGATAAAGTCAAATTCTACACAGGTATTCATTCTTATGGTGTACTGATGCTTATTTTCAATAGCAGTAGTGGCACTATAAATCATAACCACAATAATTGTCTCACCAAGTTTCAGGAATTTGTGCTAACATTGATGAAATTAAGGCTTAGTCTGCCACTGCGAGATCTGTCATATAGATTTAAAATTTCACTGTCAACAGCCAGCAGAATTTTTGAGAAATGGGTTCGCCATATGGCTCACAACCTTAGACAATTTATAGTGTGGCCTGAAAGGGAGGACATACAAAAAACTATGCCTAATTGTTTCAAGCGTTCCTTTGGTGCAAACACAGCAGTTATTATTGATTGTTTTGAAATTTTTATTGACAGACCATCAAGTCTAGCTGCTAGAGCAATCACCTGGTCACAATATAAACACAACAATACCATTAAATTTCTTATAGGCATCACTCCACAATGTACTATATCTTTTATATCTAAGGCTTGGGGTGGTAGGGTTAGTGATAAATATTTAACAGAAAATTGTGGCATTTTAAATAAACTTTCAACTGGAGATTTAGTTTTGGCTGATAGGGGATTTACAATAGCAGATAGTGTTGGGCTTTATTGTGCAAAGCTTGCTATTCCTGCTTTTACAAAGGGAAAAAAACAACTATCAGCTTTGGAAGTGGCTGAGACAAGAAAGATTGCAAATGTTCGGATTCATGTAGAAAGGGTTATTGGGTCAGTTAGACAAAAATACAAAATTCTAAGTGACACTTTACCACTGGATTATTTAAATGAAAAGGGCAATCCTTTAATAGATGATATAGTGATCACTTGTTGTGCATTGATTAATCTTTGTCCAGCTATTGTGCCTTTTGATTAATTTGAGTATTTAAAAATGCCATTTATTGTTGTCAGCACAATTTATTGTTACCAGGTTGTATTTTAATATTTAATAAAAAATAAAAACACATTTCATATTTCATTTTTATTTTAACTTATTCAGAGTAGGCTTATTTCTTTTTGTCAGTGGTAAGCCAACAGCTTTAGTAATGCCAGATGCCTTTTTATTGGTATAATAGCATGCCAAGAGTCCAGGCAATATAATTTTCTGAAAAAATTCTGCTGCCTTAACAGAGATGTCTCAGAAAGATCCTGCGAATTCGCTGGCCTAAAACCATCAGAAATGATGTTCTATGGCAACGGACAAATCAACTGCCAGTGGAAGTAGAGATCCTCCAGAGAAAATGGAAATGGATTGGCCACACACTCAGGAAGCCTGTATCCAGCATAACAAGACAGGCCCTCACCTGGAATCCACAAGGCAGGAGGAAGAGAGGCAGACCAAGAAAGACCTGGAGACGTGACCTGGAAGAAGACACCAAGAAGATTGGATACACCTGGGGACAGTTGGAGAGACTAGCCCTGGACAGAGACGTCTGGAAAGCTCTTGTCAGCGGCCTATGTCCCAGTAGGGACGACAGGCAAACATGACATGAACAGAGATGCTTGACCACAAATTACTGTCAAAACAAATTCTTTCTATGTGAACATCTTTTGTTGTCCATGTGACAAAATCAGCATATGAAGACTTGGTAGCTGCCATTTGGGTCTGGATTTGATAGTAGTAGCGGTGTGTGCTACTTAATTGTTTATTTGGTCCCAGACCAAGGTTTTTGGCCTCCTTATTGGATATGTCACTCAACATTTTCTCCTTAGTGCATGAAGGACACTTTATCTCAACCACACCTTGTCCACAGCAGTGAATGCTTGACCTGCAAAATAAGACAAGTATTAATTAACAAATTGAGGCTATAACATAAACACAAATCAAACTGTTGCAGCTGATTAAAAGGAAAAATAATTCAAGCTAGAAAACATTGGATTATTAGAATCAACAAAAATGTACAGGTCCTAAAAAGTTTGGTACCTTATAGTGGTACTAATTTTCTATTTGATTTTTTTATTTTATGAATGGGCTCATCATGGGTTTACCATCATGGTTTTAAGCATGGTAAACCCATACCAAATGTTGCCATCAACTACCACTGAGCAGAACAAGTCACCAAATTTAATGTAAAATTAGTGTTTATTTTATGTGAGAATGGTTTAGAACAATCATCAATATTATTAATATTGGATTAGTAAAATCCAGAAAAATGGACAGGTCTTAAAAAGTGGGATACCTGCCTTATACTAAATTATACTTATACCCTGCTTACCCCTAAGTCATTTAAATATTTAGGTAAACATCATAAGACATAATATTTAGTCTATTAGATTTAGATCTAGACTATATAGTATTAGTATAGAATCTATAGATTCAGTATAGAATAGAATTGACTTACTTTGGCAACAACGACGACTTTGCTTCCAAATTCTCTGCATTTTATTTGGGACACAAGCCCATCCGTAAAGTATACATAGGACTTCAGGCTTTTATAGTTTCTCATCTGTTCCTGTGTCACTTTGTTGGTCGAAAACACTAAATAGTTCACTATGTCCATGTTTTCAATTTTTGGCCAAATACAGAAATCATCTACAAGTTGACGCTGATCACTAAGAAGATACGGATCTTCAATGCATAAAAGTTCAATTTTTTTAATGTATTGTTCTTGCTCGGTAGGTGCGAGGCTTTTAACATAAGCTGAACACATTCTGGAACTAGTCTAACACAAAACTGTACTGAAGACTCCACTGCCTAGCCGGTTGTTAAGGCCGGCGATAGGGCATCAACATGGCGGTCAACATGGCGGCGGATGAAACATCACGTGGTTTTGGTCACGTGTGTGCAACCTCTCTATTGATGTTTCTGTAGGATTTGCAATGGCTTCCCATGTGCCATTAAACTCCGCCTTCGATTGAAAACAAGTAATATTTACAAATTTTCATAATTATACCTCAACAAGTACAAAAATAAATAACAATTACGGTTTGTTTTACTTTATATTGACTACTCTTAAGCGATAATTAGAAATGTCAAAATATAAAATAAATCACATTAATCTAGGCCGATTTTTTAATTTTTAAATAAATAAATTAATAATAAAATAGTTTAATTTACTGCGGAAAATTTGGAGTAGATGTTAAATAAAAAAAAAACTTATAACACTAAAACATAGTACTTGATTTTATACAAATGTATGGATACATCTAGAGTTTCTTCCAGGAATCTCTTCGAAGAAATTCTATCGGCCCCACCCGCCCCCCCCCCCCCCCCGGCGAGATGGAATTTATATAGAAAATTTATAGTTTTACTAGTGTACGCCCCGCCCCCCCCCCCCCACGAAAAATTTGGACCGCCCTTCCCCGAAATTATCAAATGCCCCCCGACCCCCCCCCCCCCTCGGAGAAAAAAGTCTGGAATAAACACGGGAGACAGCTTTTTATTTTTTTTTACCAAAAACATCAGTACCGCTCTAATCTAGTCCTTGACCTTAGAAAATACTTTTTTAATTACCTGTGCTTAAATTTTAAACAATAAAGAAATTGAACAAAAAACACAAGTACTCATATTATCTAGTATTTAACCTTAGAACATTTTTTGTATAAAAACAACTAAATGTGCTTAAATTGTGAACAAGAAAGAAAGTGTCCCGAAATCTAGTGCTGAAACTTCGAGCAAAACAAAACATTGCTACTGATATAATCTAATATTAAACATATAACAATAAACAATTGTGCCGAAAAAGCCTAGCTGGTGTGCAAATTAAATAGATTAAAATGATTGCAGATTAGGCAAAAAATATGAGCATTGATAATCGATATTTCTGTTAAACCTGTTTTTGTAGACGTGTTACTTTATGCTATGCAGTGAAGTTTAAAAGATATATTTTAGAAGGTTTACCGTATCATACTCATCATATTCAGAGCCTGTATTAGCCGTATCGGTTCCCAATCTGTATAGACCTCACCCATCAGTCGAGCCTCCGTTAGCGCCTCCATCTTTACTCGCCAGCTTGGCATTTTCTTTTGCCAACAATTGGTCAAACGACGCGTTGTCAATGATATCGCGAATCTTCTGGTTGGCGAACTTTTGCTGGAGAACATTAAATTATGTATCAATTTGTAGTGTATACAAACCACTTTTATTTTACTTTTTTAAATCAACGCCAATTGTAATAAACGGATATTATAATGAGGATCATTGTGGAGCCTCATTATGTTATTATATACCTGTGGTTGCTTCAGAATTGTATTATAAACCTACATGTGACAGCCTCATGATGTTATTTTAAACCTACAGCATGTTTTACTAAACCTCGATAAAACCTACTTTTTGGGTACCTCAGTATTTCATTTTAAACCAACCTGTGATTGCCTCATGATATTTTTTTAAACCTAACTGTGAGAGACTCAGAAAGTTATTGTATACCTAACTGTAATTGCCACAGAATTGTATTATAAAACCTACCTGTGAGAGCCTCGTGATGTTTTATAAAACCTACCTGTGGTTACCTCACTTACTGTGAGAGCCTCATGATGTTTTTGTAAACCTACCACATGTTTTGTAAAACCTACTTTTTATTGCCTTAGAATTGTATCATAAACCTATCTGTTCGTACCGCAGAATTGTGTGATAAACCTACATGTGAGAGCCTCAGAATTTTAGTATAAACCTACCTTTTGTTTGCCTCAGAGTTTTGGTATAAACCTACCTGTGAGAGCCTCATGATGTTATTATAAACGTACCTGTGATTGCCTCATAATTTTATTATAAACCTACCTGTGAGATCCTCATGATATTATTATAAACCTACCTGTGAGAGCCTCATGATGTCATTTTAAACCTACCTGTGAGAGCCTCATGATGTCATTTTAAACCTACCTGTGAGAGCCTCATGATGTCATTATAAACCTACCTGGGAGAGCCTCATGATGTTGTTATAAACCTACCTGTGAGAGCCTCATGATGTCATTATAAACCTACCTGTGAGAGCCTCATGATGTCATTATAAACCGACCTGGGAGAGCCTCATGATGTTGTTATAAACCTACCTGTGAGAGCCTCATGATGACATTATAAAGCTACCTGTGAGAGCCTCATGATGTCATTATAAACCTACCTGTGAGAGCCTCATGATGTCATTATAAACCTACCTCAGAATTTTAGTATAAACCTACCTGTGAGAGTCTCATGATGTTGACATTACAGATTGTGACTGCAGGAAACGGCAGCTCACTGAAGCCAAGCTCCACCTTTGTTTTGGTCTTATATAAGTAGTACTTGTCGACAATCCTGGGAAAATACAGTATCTATTTCGAAAGATATACACTCACATAGATGGCTACAGTTTTAGAGGTAAGTGCTTATTTCGGTTAACGGGTGACGAAGTAAACAATTGGCTTATATCGGTAAACGGTGATCTACATTTAACTTCTTACACAAATACACATCGCTTCTCTCAATCCATACAGTTTTAACTCAATTTCTTTGTTCTAAATATACCAAGGAATCATGGAAAAATTAAAATAATCATGGCAACGTATTTCACTATTATTACACAATACTTTAATTTAACTAAGTCCTTAATAGTGAACTATTATGTAAAAAAATTAAGCATTGTTGTGAATACGGATCAGAAGAAACGCAACACACGCGAATTAACAATTAAATTATTTAAATGGCCCTAGTTTAAGTCTTAAATCTTTAACAAACACTGTTCTCCAAAATAAACTTTAGTATATTAAGTTTTGGATATATATCGATTTTTTACGTAATAATTTTAAATGATAAAAAATCCAGGCGTAATTATCAAAGCTACATATAAATCTCTATAACATTTTTGATTATTTAGTGCAGACTTACATATAAAGGTGGAAGGTCATGACGCCAAAGGTCGCAGCCACCAACAGACCCCAGACAAGTTTAACCGTCAAACTGCTGGCAGCATTGATCGTGTTGACGCCATTCATGGAGGCGGTCTCGGCATATTTTGAGAACACTCCCCTGATACCTTCGCTAAATGACGTCATCTCCTCAGTGCCGTCGACATCAGATTCGGCTTTGTATTTGCCTCCATCGGTCGAGAAAGCTGGCGAAACCTTCAGGGGTCAAATGCATATTTATATTAGAGTAGGTATTAAACAATTTTGATTTTAAATTTACGAATGAAGTTTATTTACAGGATGATAATTATGTCACGGCCTCTTAATGAAATCAGTAAAAGTTAGCTACTTTGATGGTCTTTACCATTTCCAACCTCTATAGGAACTGGCTTTGATTTGTGTAGTTATTTCAACAAGAATAGTATTATTTGAGCAGAAATTTCGCCTTTGTTTCTGGAAGAGATTTCTTCTCATGAAAAACAATCATGATTATAGAAGCTATTAATTGTTTTGTCTATTAGAGTGAGTGTCTTGTTTATAACAAAAATAGCCGACCCGTGGCGTATCATGCACCGCTATTTTATTGTTTTATTTTCTACTTTTCAGTAATTTATAATTTGTGAATTCTACAGTACCAATGCTGCCACTGAAAATATTTGTTTTAAAACTTAATGAGATCGTCGTTAAGGACGATACCCCCTCCTTTCCCCCAACCCCTAAGAGCAAACTCCTCGCCAACTAAGAGCAAACTCCTCTTAGTTACCTCCCCTAAGTTTAAAATCCTTTTAAACTACATGAGCGCGCTTACAGCTTGGTGTTTTCTATCGTCTCCAAGAAGAGAATTATATATTTATAGATTCTAATCGCTTGTTCTACCATTTTGAAGGTATGCATCGTGCTATGGTACTTATCGTTAAAAATAGAATTTATTTCAAACATCTTCCCCACCCCTCGGCCCTCTGCCCGGTTCACGTCCACCACTCAATCCACTCAAGGAAAATAATTTAAACAAAAAAATGTATTTGAAAAATATGTGCCAGTTTTCGTACTCTTAAACCATGTAAATTAAGCTCATCGACAAAGTTTCAAGTGCATCCAACCCCTCCCCGGAGAAAGCTGTCTAATAGAAACGCTGCTTAATAAACTAAGCTCTCTTCTGTGTGATTCAACCAAATGTACTGAAGATGTTATCTCCGAGAAAATCTTAGTAAACACTTGACAACTTCTTTAATTTAAAGTCTCGAAAATAAATTTCAGCGGAAATGAATACCGAACCTCGGAAAAAATACATTTATTTATAAGTTTAGGCGCTTGTGCACCAAGAAAAAAACAAAAAAACAACGAAATTTTGACACGCACAAAATGAATACTCTTAACTTACATACACAGCCTGTATACATGTGATTGCTATGAGATAAAATTCGTTGTCACACACATAAACATATGTTCTGGATTCAGTTTTAGTTTTAAAAGAATAGAAGTTAAATTGAACTTTTACTTGCTATGGTGACAAAAAAAAAATATAAATGATTTGAATTAAATTTCAATAGTTGTAAGGTTAAAATAATTAACTTTTGCCAAAATAAGTGTTAACATCTGTTAATTTAACCCTCAACAAATTTTAAAAGTTTAAAGTTTATCTTAAAAATGTTAACATTTTAAAAATTAACCCACCTCAAATATTAAAAGTTTACCTAAAGTAAATATTTTTATATTTAAACTAAACCAACCCCAAATCTTGAAAAGTATTATATTATTATTATATATTATTATATTATTATTATGAAAAGACTTACGTAAAGTAAGTCTTCAAATGTTAACATTTGACACACATCAAATGTAGAAATGTTAGTTAAAAGTTTCCTTGTAAAAGTAACGTTGGCATCTCCTCAAACAGCAACTCGACACTTCCAGC